CTCCACTACTGTCTGCTATACACAATTTACTATAGTTGCCGTATAGCTGTCAGAGTGTGAAGAAAGGTATAAGACCCGGCGTCGCTCCACTTCCTATCTGCTATACAAGTCTCCAATTCCTGAGTTCGCTACAAAACTGCTACACCCTAAGAGCACTACAAGACAGCAGTTTGTCGGCCCGGATTCAGGCGAACTATCCGATTTCGTGTTCGAAGGAGCGGCGGCCTCCTTCGACCACCCTTCGAGGAGTGTCTGAGTAACGAGCTTCGCAGGCTGGGAACTATACACCCATGGCGAGTGCATTCTGCGACCGATTTCTGACAGCTATCCAAGTGATTTCGCACGTGTATAGTGTACAGTAAGTGGAGCAACGCCGAACTCTCCGAATTCCGAGAGTGTATAGTAGCGGAGCGAGACCCACAGAGAGAGAGAGAGAGAGAGAGAGAGAGAGAGAGAGAGAGAGAGAGAGAGAGAGAGAGAGGAGGAGGAGGGATAAAAGAAGGGCAAATTGCAGAAATACCGATTTGCAAACGTATCGTTGCAGCTTTACTGGGCTGCGCAGGTATGGTGACAAACGAAGGCGTTTGCGAGCAGCCCAGCGCTTCTGAGGTGTATCTATGCCAAAAAATTCCGGTCTCTAACGTTTTTTTTTTTTTTTTTTTTGAGTCCCTAACGTTTCAGTGGCTACTATAGCTCTGGCGCTCTACCTTGTTTTGCAACAGACCCCTGGGCCTTGGAGCCCTTGCCTCAGGCCAGGCCGACGGGACCCCTGTTACCAAAACAGGCTGGCCTCAGGCCTGGCCGACGGGACCCCTGTTATGAAAGCAGATACCAGCCGGTAAAAATCTGCACACAAATCTTCGAAAAACGGGCTATTTCTGCGATTTGTCGGTATTTCGGCACCTTTACGGGTAAGGTTGCTAGGATACGTTCGCAAACGGGGTATTTCTGCAATTTGCCCCAAACAAGAACGGGAGGGAAATGGAGAGGAAGGAAGAAAAGGAGGAAGAGGGAGAAGAGGAACGAACAGAGAAGGAAGAAAAAGAGGAGAACGAGGAAAAAGAAAAGAACAGGGCAGAGGTGAAAGTTACAAAAAAAAAAAAAAAAAAAAAAAAAAAAGGAAAAAAATAAAAAAAAAAAAAAAAAAAAAAAAAGACTGTGGTGAACGAGAACGAGGGGGAGGGGCAAAAGAAGAAGGAGAAGAAAAAGATCAGGACAGAGGTGAAGAAGAAAGAGGACGGGGGGTGCAGAAGAAGAAGGAGAAGAAGAATGAGTCGAGAGCAGGACAACGAACCAGGGGCATGGGATAGTGGAGAAGGGAGGGTGGAGTGCAGAGACCAGAGGAGGAGGAGAAGGAGGGGGAAAGTATGGGGAGAGTGACGGAGAGGGGAACGAGATTTCCGAGCTCAGTCAATATGTACAAGAGGCCAGGCATTATCGCTGTTCTCCATCGCCTTCGCAGCAATCTGCTCAACTCTCTCAATGAGTCTGCGGTAAACTCCCTCAATGAAGAGACCCCCTTGTACCAAGCAGCTGCTGAGGTTGGCTCTGGAATAGCCGGCACTGATGGCAAAGCGCTCTACATGGTCATAAGGCCCATAACCGAGCAACTAACAACTCCCAGCCAAGTTGCCACTGCCCCACGGTTTGGCGGGGTAGAAGAGCTTGGCCACGGCACGAGCAAAATCGGAGCAATGGTAGCACATGCAGCAGCAGCGGAGCTCGTTGGATGGCAGCGACCACCTCTGTCTCCTGCTTTGCATCTTCCCTGTCCTCTTTGGAGGATCAGCAGCAGCAGCAGTGTCGCCATCACGGACTCCGTCGGGCATTGGGATTGTAACCCCTTCTCCATGATCGTAGTGATTTCAGCCATGGCTTCTAAACTTGTCTTCCACCTGTGCCCTCGAGAGGAACCTACTTCTTTGCTCCCTAGCACCCCTCTACGCGACAAGCTTGTTCCTCTTCTACGCAGTGAGGCCTGTGCTCCTTCCCCTCTCAGAAGAAAAGCTTTTTCCTGTACTACGTGAATGCCTGTGCTACCTCCCCTGCCAGAGCTGGCCTCTGAGACCCCCCCCCCCCCCCCTTTCTCCTACTTCCCTCCAACGACGTGAACGAATATTTAGCTTGAAAAATGGGTTTTCGACATTATGGGCCTCCCCACACCAAAGTCGAAAGGCAAGAAAATTGGACTGCTGTCAGAACAAATTCGACACCCTCTATTCGACAGTTTGCCCCCCCTTCGCCACACAGCACCATAGAGTGCACGCAGTTGTGAAAGCAAGATGGATGAAAGCAAGATGGAAAAAGACGAACGCGCCTGAGGGCAGGACACGCATCAGTCCATCCCGACCTTACCCCCACTCACCAAATTTCGAAGCAAAGTCGACCGCGCAGCCGAGGAGTGTCGAAAGCATCGGAGCAGCAGGCTGGGGATGCGACGACTTTCGACAGGAGGTGTCGAGAAGCATTCTCTGACAACTTGCAAATTTTCTTCTCGTCTCGGACTTGGACAGCCTGTGTGGCGAAGAGGAACTGTCGAAAATCGCATTTTCTACAGTGCTGACAGCCTGTGTGGCGAAGAGGAACTGTCGAAAATCGCATTTTCGACAGTGGTGCGGGGAGACCCTTTTATTCACATTCTGTGGAGAGGTAAGTTGCCAAAAGTGCTCCAACAGCAGGAGACGTTTTTTCGACAGCAGATGTTTTTTCTACAGCAGGAGATGTTTCGAAAAGGAGGGAGGAGGATGAGGAGTGACTGTGATATTTGAGTCTGCTGACAGTCGAGCTCAGCTCATAAGCTAAACTGGCTGAAGCTGCCAGGATAACCCCGGGTAGAATTGTGAGGTTCCTCACCTCTTCCCAGTTTTTTTTTTTTTTTTTTTTTTTTTTTTTTTGAAAGCTATATTCTCCTCTCAATTTCACCTCACACTACCTACCTACCACTACTCCTAATTGTAGCCCTACGGGAACCCCGTAGCAGCCAGAACCGTGTTCATGAGAGAACATGTGGGGGCTGCTCCCGACCTGCAGGTGGGCGATACTGACTAGGGCGCAGCCGGTAGCATCAGAGACCATGCCAACAGGACCAATCCCTGTGCCTCCCCTCAGGTGCTGGTCCCCCCCCCCTTAGGAACATCAGCAGACTGCTAAATGCCGATTTGGGGATCCAGTGGACTATCTCTAGGTGGCAGGCGCCAAGCATGCCCAGGAAGGTACATCAGGTCAATGGGGATTGCCTCCTGAATGCCACTTGAGAGCCTTACCAACTGAGATAGACCGCTGGATCGTCCCAGTTTTTTCTGGCTAGGCCGCTCGATCGTCCCAGTTTTTTTTTTTTTTTTTTTTTTTTTTTTTTTTTTTTTTTTTTTTNCCCAAAAAAAAAAAAAAAAAAAAAAAAAAAAGCAGGAAGAAGGAGAAGACGAAGGAACAGAGCAGAGCAGCTGTTGTAACGTATGCTGTCGACGCATCTCGTCAGGCGACAGCAGAGTTTACAACGGCTGCAGCTATTTCCATGCCGAAAACGCTTGACTGCGTGCAGCCCTCCTACGGAGGGCCTCGCCGAACCACTGTCGAAACGAAAAAAGCACTAGCGCATCTTCCCCAAAACGCGGCCCGATGCATCTGTTACTATTCATAGGAACCGATGCATCTTGCCACTTTCTGTGGGAAAAAGCATTTGAACGTTTTTCCTTTCGACAGTGGTGTGCCCCCTAAACTGCTGACCTCAACTCTGAGGTCATGAAAATCAAGCAGGCAGTTTTAACATCTCTCAGCGTGGGGGCGCTGCCATCTTCGTCTGGGCCTCGATATCCACGTTTTCTTTCTTTATTTATTTATTTTGTTTTTTTAATGTTTTTTTTAGAGCGCACTACGGCCTTGAGAGATCATCATTCAACAGACACTATCTGGATTCGAACCTTGATCTGTATTTCAACAGTTCACAGGTCTAACAACTGAGCTAGGCCCGTTGATGCATCCACGTCTTCGGCATGCCTGACCGAAATGAGTGTGAGGAGAGCTGAGGGGAGAGGGCGGAAGCGTTGCCTTACTGATGGTACGCCG